CGCGGCTCTACTGGCCACAGCAGTTCCTGCCGCTGTCGGGCGGGCGCCCGCCGCCCTACGAGAGCCTCTCACTGGAGCGCTTCATGCTGGGCTACTGCCAGCTGCTGGAGATGGGGCTGAGCGCCGAGGAGCGCCGCTTCCGCCACCGCCTCTGCGGCGAGATGTTCGCGCGCCTGCGCCGCCACCCCTGGCCGCGTGTGCGCCGCTTTCACCGCGCCGTGCTGGAGCGCGTGGAGGCCGGGCGGCGCTGCTGGCGCGACGGCTTCGACGACCTGGCGCGCACCTTCTTCGGTGATGGCGAGGCGCCCGCCGAGCCCGGGAGCGCCCCGCTCGCCCCGCACGCCGCCGCGGTGCCGGGCGTCCCCAGCGAGGACGACGTCTGCCGCTACATCGACCAGAGCTTCTCCTTCTGTAGGGAGAGGGGGGCCGAGCTGCTCGACGGCTGAGCTGCGCCGGTGGCGGTGGTGACAGCAGTGGTGTTGTGGCGGTGGTGGCCGCGGTGGCGGTGGTGACAGTGGCCGCGGTGTCTTGGTGGCCGTGCTGGAGGCCGTGGCGGTGCGGTGCTGCGTGGAGCCGCCGGGCTCGCCGCGTGTCCCGCGTGTGTGTGGTGTGCAGTGCTGCGGCGGTGCTGGCGGTGCCGGGTGCAGGCGCCGCCTCTCTGCAATAAACCTGTGTGTGAGCGACGGCCCCGCTCGCTGCGCCCGCTCCTTGGCTCCTAGGCGGAGCCCTGCAGGCTGGTGGGCTCTGCGCCGGCGGCGCCGCGAGGACATGGAGTGGCGCTCCCCACCKCTGGCGAGGCCACGGCGCAGCCAGCCCGCAGCCCGCGGGTGGCTGGGGACGCGCGGCCCGAGCCGTGCACGCGTGGTGGCCGGCRGTGATGTGCTGTCCCTTGCAGGAGCAGGAGGAGGAGGCGCGCCTGGCCAGCATGCCGGCCTGGAGGAGGGACATCCTGCGCAAGAAGCTGGAAGAGGAGCGGTGAGTGCCGAGGACGGTGCTGCTCGTGCCGCTCCGTCCTGCGCGGCGCACTGCAGTGCCGCCCCGTGCTAACGGCCTCTTTCCACTTGATTTGCAGGGAGCAGAAAAGGTGAGTGCCACTGGTGCCTTCCCTGTGGGCGTGCAGCGGGAGGGCACATGCTCTGCCGCACTGTGCCAGAGCCAGTGTGAGCCGGTGCCTTCCATCRCGGCGCAGGAAAGAGCAGGAGAAGCAGCGGCGCGAGGAAGAAGAGAAGGAGAAGGAGCAGTCGGAGAAGCTAAGGACTCTGGGGTACGATGAGAGCAAGCTGGCGCCCTGGCAGCGGCAGATCATCCTCAAGAAAGGGGACATAGCCAAGCACTAGTCACGCCCCGGCCGCCGCGCCGAGGAGGCGCCGGGCACCGCAGCCTGCCGCGCTGTGCCGCACCGCGCCGCGCTGCACCGCGCTGCACG